GGATACACAGTTAATTCAAATGTCCAGAAAGAAAGACAAGCTAATACGACATATGTACTAGCCAATGGCATTCGGAAAGGCTTTAAGTTCAATTGGAAAAAAAGTGGCTCGGGGTGGTTTCTGATTGAAAGCAAATCTCATTGTTCTTGATCTGGAAGAATAAACCATGCAACCTCCCGTCGAATAAGTTAGGTTGCTAAGTTACTGGTTTCAACCTTAACATTGGACTACACAAAAACCATGGACTAGCTTAGAACACTTAAATCAGAAGGATAACTTTAAACCAAACTAGGTTATGAAACGGCCAAAAGCAGAGTTCCAATAGGTTGACTGACCTGCAACTCTAGTATCGAATTGGCTTGAAGCTCGTAAATAAATAAGTAAGGAAATGTTACAGACACTGACTTAGCCCGAAGATGACGGGACAAAGTTCTTTCTTTGAAAAATGTCACCTCGAAAACTTCTGTTAAAACTAGCAGGCGTTTGTTAAAAGCGAAGGCTGGATAGAATAACGACTCTTCAGCAAAGCAAAAGGCTGCCTTTTTATAATACAGAATTAAACCTACATATTTTCAGCCTATGACCTTATCGCGTTAAAATATATTCATACACTCGGATTTATCTGGTTTTAAATCAAACATTTAGCAATAATGTGCAGGTCAAGTTCAGTTCGGCCTCGCGAAAATAGGTGGAGAAAAATACAGGCACAAGACCACACTGTCCAGAAAAAAGGAAGTTGATAAATTAATCAGTCAGTTTTGTCGCAACACTGCACTAGCAGTGTTAGCCAGAAAGCAGATTTGACACTGTCGACGTGTTTTATGCCTCTAACAGCAGTCTGTCGGTTTTAAATGCCAACGGATAGTCACTGAGGGGAGCCGCTCTCTAAGACAGAACAGTCAACAAACAAGTAAATGCTAATGACACCATCCTCAAAATGCGGTCCTAAGGAATTTGCCGGCACACAGGACCGTTGATTGCCATTTAGGATTTGCTGCACATTAATGACAATTGAATCAATTTGGTGTGGAGATATTAGGCCTTACGGCTGTCAACCTGTTCTTAATGTACTCAAAAGAGGGTGGAAGTAATTCAAGATTTTCTTGGCAGATCGATTTTTGTATGTATAAACGACGCAAAACTGGAAATGGCATGACCTAGTAAGAAAAGCATAAGCAGTCCTGTATTCATGAGAGTCAGATACATTTCGAACATGTACCAGGTAGGACTTGGTGAACTTATTCCTCTGTAAAAATACATATGTTACTAAAACGACGAAAAGGTTTCTATCTCCGGATCAGTCTACATATTGGTTTGAGCTTTCGGACAAGTATTGGAGTCCGTCATCAGACGATGAGTGCGCAGCGGAAAGTGTGCTGATTTTTTTGTTTAGCTCTCGGATCAGATAAGAATAAAAGCACACTTACGAAATTTCTAGTCCCTAACGCAACAAGACTCTACGCTCACAACCTTTATCTATAGATATCTCTGCTAGTGAACTGGAGACTGCGCCCGAGATACCGGACGAATAAAATTCGTGTTTTGAAGATGGAGTTTACTTCTCGCAATCGAAATTATCCAGATGTTTCGGATTGCCCGTTGAATGCAAAATGACGGCGAAAATCCATCGACACGACTTGCTTTGAGTAGAATTTTCGAAACAAATTTTTGTCTTCCGGCGAATGTAGACGGCTTTCTAATTAAATTATCCTATCTTTCCCTCCAGACAGTCGTTTGAACGCTGCCGTTACGCTCCTGCATGAGATTCTTGAGCTCCATATTTCTTCTAAACAAAGCGCTACTATGTGACATGAATGTGTTTCAGAGAAAATACGCCTACAAGCATCATTCCATGCACAGAAAATTATCGGAATGCGTCAACATGCAAAGAAACACCAAAATACGGTAGATGTCATCCTCAAAATCATGCAAATTAGATTTTATTTTCGGGATTTTACTTCAAAAGATAAGAAGAGAATTTGAAATATCGTGAAAATTGCGTCAGTTCGTAAATACTAGGGTCTAATGGAAGCTGACTAAGATAATACCTACATTTAAAAGGTTAGACTGCCAATAAAAGATCGTATAAAATATACGCGGTGGACTACGAAATCAATCGGCACCCGAAATAAAAATAAGGCCGTGAGTACAACGCAAATGTCGAACTAATACGGTAACCATCAGATGGAGCACAAGCAAAACTGCCTTATAATTTTAGCAGCATGGGAAATGCAGAGGAGTACCGCATACAGGATGCAAATTCGTAAATCTTTATAAACTGATGCATCCGTGTTCGTCAACCGAAGGCAAGGCAGAGAGATCCACCAAAACTTTGAATGCCCACATCATAATTTTAAACATCCCTGAGACCACAGAGGACACTGAGCCTGCCGTTGGTATCGCTCACCTACCATAGGCTATGCAGAAAAGTCATGCAGATCAGGGACCAACTAACAGTGGGTAAACAGTCTAGTGTCAGTTACCAGACCACATGCCGAAAGTGGCTCTGAAAATACAAAGAACAAGAGGCAAGAAGGTTGAACTCATGCACGCAAACGAAGATACCGGCACTGTGGCGGGGTGGCTCATTGCACCTGGTCGCTGCCAACACTTTCGAAGCGGGCCATAAATTCAAATCCCCAAACACAACAATAGTGGCATGGGTCCACACCAACAAAAGCAATGTGCAGACATAGGTTTAGATATAATGCAACGTGGAACAGCGCACCGACCTGCTGTAAACATACCTCGCCCTGGACTGTCAAGGTGAGGCCTTGGTCCGGTTTTTAGACAAGGAAACAGGCTGCTAGAATGACATGGGATATCGCAATAGCCGCTAATTTGCTCATGTCCTTTCAATCAGGCGATAAACACCTGTTTGCGTTAGAAAACTCCGACCAATTTAACGACTGCTATGGAGATTGACATTTCTTCATTTGATCCCAAATCCGGGTCTCGAAACCGCAGCTGTCCCCGAACAGTGTACAAGTAGATGTCTTTGACGATGCTTTACATGTCGGCTGGGGCTATCACCAGAAAATTTGGCACAAGAATTGCTGCCCATGCGTGATCAACGAAACATTCAATATACTCAACGAGAATCTCTTTTATAATTATTACTAGTTACGGCTCAATCAAAAGGAAAATATGCGAGACGATGTCTAAAAAGCACATCCCCGAAAGCATATGGATTAGTGACGGATGATTATGAAATTACGATGCTATCTGGAGAATAGAGGAGGCAGGGGCTTGGCCTCAACTGAGGTGGCAAGCAGTACTGATATCTGGGCGTTTCTGCTTATGCAGAATATGCGTTTCGGTCGGTGACAGGAACCTCGATGCGTTTAATGTCAGATACATCGCGGCATTCAAAAAGCACGAAATATGCATGGGTGCACCAGATGTTTGGTGCGTTGGAACTGGCAGTTCGGCGCACTTGGGATGGACCCTGGAATGCATATGCTAGCGAGGGCACAGAAGCATTGAACAGACATACCTTGTGCAGAGACAACCAGGAAAGCGCCTTGAAATGCAAAGACGCCCATGAGCCACCAGAGGCGCCGTAGAAAGGCGAGGGAGAGGTTGATAATGGTAAGTCCCGACAGACCAACTCCCATGAGGCATCCACAATACTTCGGCGTGCCTTCCAAGAAAGCTATACTAAGTAGCCATCCACCCAAAGCACCGACAGAACGTGCTGTATATATAAGAGCGATTTCATCCTCCCATGTGTTTGAAATCTCCTCAAAGAATATAACTGATGGTCCCAACACAGACACAGAGAGGCCCTATGATCTACTTGTAATGAAGAAAATTTCCATACCATAATAATGAAGGTTGTGAGGAAAACCGGGAAAGAACAGCATGACAGAGATTGACGAGAAGGAACTAAAGGCCGACTATTAAAAGCGTGATGATTAGACCGCTCCATATGGGGCCAAGCTCACTATTTACAAGCACCCAAAAGCCGACTGCAGAACACCTCTTTTATACAACTCGGTGAGTTATTGACTCGATAAAACAAAAAGGAAATGTAAGCCTCGTCCTTTAGAGAAAAAGTGCGAATAATTCGGTTGTCGGTACATCAAAGGGTTTTTATAATGTGTGATATTAAATTGCGGAGGAATTGTGAAGTAATTCAACATTTGCATTTACGACTTCAGACGGAATGTATCGGTGAACTCGTGCGATCCTTCGGCAAATAGAACGTTCTGAAATCAAACCACGATATAGGATCTTCATTGCCCGAATCAAACTGATCAGTGTACTCTGTCTGATGATTATATGGCTTGCAAATACTATGGTATTCTAATTCGAATAGGGTTCGGAAGAAATCTGACGGACTAAATTTTGCATATCGTTACGATTGATTTCGTGACAAACCAAACACGCATAAACTCATCCACCCTACTACACACACGTATAGCGCAGGGTTCCCTTAACGTTGCTACTACGGGCGATCACACCCTACGTTATTACAAGGTATAAACAGCAATCTGACAGTTAGTTGTTTCTATGCAAAACGTATCGAGTAGCCAACACAACCCTTTCGACTTGGCACGCACCCAGTGCACGCAGTCCGCCATGGACTCAAAAACACCAACATTGACCAAATTTACGCTCTTACATCTTAGTATCGGAACCAGTTTCCAGTGGTGCGGAGATTATCGTGTTTCGAGCATCCAGAACACCTCAAAATTGCCCATAAGATTTCTCTGCAGATATTGCTTTAAACGTCTGCCCGCACAAAATTTAGAGAAATCTACCTGAGCTGGGGACGATAACATTGACTGTAATGCCATGTATGATTGAGAGATTGTCGTTGAGAATGTGCAATTTTCGAACAGTTCCAAAATTTGGCGACAAGAAAGTTGTTTCCAAAATGAATTTGTTAGCTGAAAAACATTTGTCCCATCGAAAACCGCTCACTTTAAGCGAATTCTTGTAAAATTTTTTGTGTACAATTGCGTTTATGTCTATTATTTTAAAACCATCTAGGCATGGCTAGTATAAGATGTTCCGAAACCTGTTCTCAAACGGACACAGATAGCGTGGTTATGCAAAGAAATAATATATGCTATGGTAATGATGATGATGATGATGATGATGATGATGATGATGATGATGATGATGATGATGATGATGATGATGATGATGATGATGATGATGATGATGATGATTTTATTGAATGCCAGTTTACAGGCGTTGTCAAGGGAAGCGTTAAACGCATATCCCACCAGCAGTGAAAAAACTCCCGAGGTAAAGTAATAAAAATATAGTTGATGGTGGTTTTTATGGTTTGGAGGGTTCAGGGAAAAGAACCTGCTGGTGCCATACATTCGAACGTCAAGAAGGGTGGGTGGGGGGATTGCACGGTATCGGAGATTATCGGACGTCAATTCCTTTCATGAAGTTGGGGATAGTCAAAGTAGAGGCGTTGAGGAACAGCTGTCGCTGTTGACCAACGAAATTGTCTATGGTGAGACCGGCCATAGTGTTCAGAGACCACAAACGCCATCGCTACGGTAGAGTCGATCAGTGGATTCAGCACCCAAAATTTGTGGCAGCTTTTCTGAGTGCAAAAATCGAGTAATAATTCTCTTAAATAAAGGATAATTTTGCAGAGTTTTCACAGTCATGCGTAGTTTATTCCAAATAGCAATTGCATTTACAGAATAGAACCGACGATATTTAACAGTACGTGCCAGAGGAAGAAATAAAAAGACCTCACGATGACTGTTACGTCGCGGGTGGACATGATGTCTTAAAGAAGTGAGTGGATTAAATTTGTGATTATATAAGACTTTAAATAGCAAAAATAGTCCCTTTTGTAATCTACGGAACCATAAAGGATCGAGGCCTGTAAGCCGGCAACGTTCTTGGTAAGACAAATGTCGGTGTTCAGGGGTTAAAACTCTCTTGGTAAACAAGTGTTGAACGGATTCTATTTTCTTACGCTCAGTAGCACGCATAAGGCTAAATAAAAACGAACCGTATTCCAGACCAGGTCTAACGTACATGTTGAAAAGGCGCCTTCTAATGTCCCCAGTTTTGAAGTTTCGGACGATAAACCCGGTCGTTCTACGTGCTTTGAAGACTATCAAGGCACAGTGCTCAGAGAGATCGAGACTCTTGGAGTATGATACGCCCAGATCCTTAATAACCCCAGGCACATTTATGGCGTGACCTTCAATACTTAGTTGTGGTTGGCGGTCGTCGCCAACCACCATGACTGATCAATGTTCAGTTCAAGAGTTAAAACGTTCTTTCTGCAAGTGCGGTACGGCAGACATTGTACATTACCAATGGTCTCGAGGGAGGTATCGGTCGCTATCGAATAAAAAGTTGCGACCAACCGAAAAGTATCCGTCCCGTAACACTCCGGTCACCGGCGAGGCTGAAGTAGGACGGAGTTTTAATAAACCAATCTTATTAATAAGTCCTCCATCCGGTTCAACCCAGAGAATGGACGTCGCTGACTCTGGATCCGTAAAAATCCGCAAAATCTCGACTCCATCAGAAGTGGCCAACATATTTGGAGACCAGTTCCCATTTACATTGGTAGTACGCCTACCGGCACTATATAAAATGATCACTATTGGCGACATGTTAAATGACGTTGCTGATGATAGAGGACGTAGTCTACCTATCCAGTAGATGAAATACACTAAAATGACTGCTTCCTAATTCTTCTTATTGGAATTTTATTCTCATCGTAGACAACGGTTAGGAATTAAACCTACCGGAAATTGAAAAATTCAACGCACAATAGATAGATAGGTCCGTCACTGGCTTGGAAAGCCGTCTTTCCTTTTGTGATCTTTAGCTTTTCCGATGAACTTCCTTTCTGATGCATAAAATCAGATGGTAGATAAAAAAGTATTTAAATACAGTTCAGTCCAACAGGTCCATATGACCTCGCAGCACATTCACAACCCTGTAGACCGAAGGTACTCAGCTATGGGCAAGGCCAAAAATTGTGTGAGAAATTTCGACTTGAAGGCAAACATAGATTCCACCACGTGTCAAAAAGATTGCACAATGGGGAAATAATTTATAACAACAAACTGTAGAGAGGAAATGGGGAAAGATGGTGCAGTTAGACATAATGCAGCAAAAGGGACATCAGAAGAAAACGCAGGAAAATGGGCATGAGTCGGTCACTATGCACAAACACCCCCTTGCCATGGGCCAACATACTTTCTAGGAGATTGCGGAGAATAGACCGTCGCACAGCAGTCCAAGTGGTCGCCCAATGCGTTTTATTGTATCGACAGATGGGTGCTCACCAGTATATTTCCAAGTCACGAATACATACTATGAACTGTGGCGGGGCCGAAAGCATTGCTCGAATATGTGAAGGGCACAGTTGGGTGGCTGTTATGATCCTTATCGTCACCATAGAGAGGGACTTAGTTGATAAGTAGTTATATTTTATTGCTGAGGGGCCGGGTTCACTTCAAGTGCAAAGTGAACATTGGATGATGAAAGCATGTGTAAGGCTTACCTGCAGTTGTGCATAAGTAACCAACTGCGTAATAACGCTTCGAATAGAAGTGGGAAAAACTATTTGCTCCTGCTGGAGTTTCGGTCTTCCCTAAATAATGCTGATGATATTAATACCCGACATTTCCAACGTGGATATTTTCAGCAAAAACGTGTTCAGAGCGAAGTAAGGAATAAATTCTCTTAGGAAAACGCAAGTAGACTTCAACTAAGACCTGCTGGCCAATATTATTGGAGATTTTCTGGAGTAAAGAGAGATTTAAATGCATTAGAAATAGCCAAACTGCAACCGACAAGCCAGGAATATCCTCATGATTATCGGAATCATCGCAAACTGTTTGAAAAAAAACAATTGCTATCAAAATTACTGACTTAAGCTAAGCAAATCCAGTTTTCAATTCTGCCAGATACGGCTCTTTCCCGATCGCTTTTGAGAAACGTGCCATATGTATTTTATAATCTTACTCATTTCCCGTTGTTGCGACAGCCTGCATGTGTTCATTATTTATTTCGACCTTAGTATGCCCTTCGAAAAAGTGGAACACAGGCGACTCCTAAAAAAAAGTGAGGCCTTAGAAATTAACAGTCCCTTATTGAATTATGGTTGCATGTGTCCGAGGGTTACGAAACCCTCTTTGACCCTATTCGTGTTCAGTAGAGATTATAAATGTGATTATATGCAGTCAGCGTAAAATACAGTCATTCATAAAGTTTACGGAAGCGTTTTACAGTGGACGTGCAGTGATGCGTTGTCCATGAAATGAAATCAGAAGGAAAAGCTCATGGCTGATCCTGCAGAAAGAGTCGCCGGTGATCAAAAATCAATCAGTTTAACCGCCTTTTAAACATGCCCATATTACCAGAAGACATTATTTAACATGAGAGTGAGTCTCAAGGCCAAAGTATCTGTTGACTGAAAGAAAACTCCCATTGGTCTTGAAGCTCGCAATCGTCAATAACCAAGTACGGATGACCGCGCAGGTGATTGACGCTAGCAAACTCGAAGAAATCTTCAGATAGTGCAGAATGTCCGCAACAGGTTGCATCCGATTTGTCAATGGGATGGGGAATCAAATTCAGCTTGAGCAGTCTTTCAGGACAACAAAGAGTTCTAAAACCGCTCACTTGTTTTTTTGCTCACCGTTCCACCTGCTTGATAGGGTCACTGTCTTAATCTATGGCATCTACGCTTGTATTACGTAGTCCAAACGCGGTTCAATGGACGTATGAAAGACTCGTGAGAAGAATTCTGGAGGAAAGACTACGAAAGCACGCCTAATTCAGTACATGGTGCTGGACGGTTCTTTTGCAGTTTTCAGAGTGCAGCATATTTGAAGTTGTGCAGATACCTCGATCTTAGTGAGTATCCACTTCTTTTAGCAGAATCGCATTCAAACAGTACTGGTGTTCTGCAAAACGTCCCCGATCAACTTTCAAGCCCAAGACTATACGTTTGGATACATCAAACGTTAGAAGCCACTTAACGGACATTGCAGGCAGTTTATAAACCTTTTCATGCAGTTTTTAAACGTTGTAAAAACGGCTTGTTGTTGTTCAGATTTTCACACCATCTGCAAATATGACGTCATCGCAGTCAAAAACTTCCGTGTAGCCGTTTATATTGATGAGGAAGACGAGCGGACCTGAGACCGAATCCTATAAGACACCGCCTTCTACTGGTACCCATTCGGATACTGTGGCATCAGCAATTACTCTTCACAACCTGCACGATGAAAAACTTAATACCCATTTTAAAATGTTGCCTTATATTCGGTACTGTCAAATCTATTGTAGAAGTCGTTGATGAAGCATGCTAGTGGAGGTTTTTTGAAGTCGACGAAGATGGCATCGACCGGACGGCCCTAGTTTATGGCTTTTGTGCATTTTCCGTGCGAGCGAAGACCCCCCATTCGAAACCGGGGAGGTATGGGCAGTTTTCCGTTCCTCCCGCAGTTCAACTTCCTTCATGAACTTTTTGAATGTCATCGACACCGGCTCGCACAATATGTGGGCCAATTTTCGAAGAGCGAATGGAAGAATTCTATCTATACCACGTGACTTTACAGGCATTATTCGAAGTAGTTCTCTCCTTTACGATGTAGGCCACTGAAAGTTTCCGGATCAAAGCCAGCATGACATGAAGCCATTTTGGCATTACAGCTGCGAGCTCAGTCCAAAATCACATCATACATGAGAAATGACATGCTAACCACGAATCAGCCTTGTGCGGCGGAAAGTATAGAATTCACCTTTACATCTTAAGCCGAAAATCGTTAAAAAATAAATGCCGTATTTCACCTCAACCATTCCGAATGAACTCGTGACGCAAATGCTGGCCTGCAATTCAGTTCAGTTTAGTTCAGTTTATTGAGGGAAATAGGCGTAAGCCTTTGAGTACCCTATTTGCAACGTAAGAACTGTGTGGTGTACAGATAGATGTTCTGGGCTGAAATGGTTGGACAAAATGAAAAGGAGTTACAGGCGGTGAGCTTGACTTCTCATCGCCCTTGGTCATTTCGGTACATAAATATGTCCAGATTCTTCTAAAAACTTTGTATAGATGCTGACATCGCAACATCTGCGGGCAGCTCATTCCATGGTTTGACCACCCGAACCGAGAATGAGAACTTCCGCATATCCAGCCGTGCCTGCTGAGTGCGCAGTTTTAACGGGTGACCTCGGAGGTTGGTCATGGTTGCAAATTCAAAAAAGTCCTCGAAGGCGAGACTGCAATCCAAAC